CTGGTTTTCGTCCTGCCTGGGGTTCCCCACGCAGCGGCCGCTGCACGGCCAGGGTGAGCGCCTCCGCGTTGTCCCGCCAAGCGATGACAAAGGTGTGAATAAGCAAGGTCAGGCCGTATTTTGCCAGGCTAGATCAGAGTCGCCAAGCAGAGAGTAGCAAACGTTACTCACTGGGCTTGGCCATTATTGTCTAGAAATAGTGGAATATGTGATGTGTCTTCCAGCGACCTTACTGCATCCGTTTGTAGGCAGCAGGATTTTCCAAATATGTCAAGGTACAGGAAAGCTTCCGGTGTAAGAAATGATTAACATGTTTTCGAAAAGCATTTCCAAAGTTCTCTGCCCGCTCGGAGGAAGCGGTCTGCCATCCCGAAAGTGGCGTGTTTGCAGATACACCACCTAACGATGGCATAGGAAGACAAGCAGAGGAAGGGAAGTCAAAGGAGAGGAAGAGCAGTCAAAGGAGAGGAAGAGAAGTAAAAAAAGAGAAGTAAAAGTCATTCTCCTCTCCCTCCCGTATAGTATAAGCCTTTCAACACGGCTGTTACTCTCACTGCTGCCTACCTTAATCTGGTTGTTGACACAAGTCATTGGAAATGTGTGAAATGAGCGGCTGCATAAATGTCTAACGGCACAGGACGATGGAGTTGGGTAGGTTGTGATAGTCCCTGGGATGAAAAGTGATTTAAAAGCCGTTCCCCAGTTGTTCTACAAAGTGATACTGATTCCTGGCTGCTGCTGGTTACCATGGAAGCAGTCCTGTGCGCACTCATTACATGGATGGCGAGTGCTTTCAGTGCTGAACATCTTTTCAGCTGTGTTTACATCAGTCATAAATAAAACAGGTAGAATGAAGGTATTTTTCCCCTCCATTACTCGTTATTTGGTGTTGTCTAAGAGCATTATTACCTTTTTTTTAAATAATAATTTTCTTACCTGCTTCCTAAGAGAGAACATTAAAACCAAAGCAGCATTGTAACAGTGATTACGGGGTTAGGTTGCAAATGTAAACCTTTCTAGACAGTCATTGTGGCATTGGATAATTTCAAGCTCCAGGTACCACATTTGTAGCAGGGGAGGGAGTTTTTAAAACCACAGCTGAGAGCCCGCAGCCAGGCTCTGATCTCACTGGTACTCACCAGGGGTGGCCCAGCAAGCTTCAGCGGAGGGACTCCGCGTTACACGTGGAGCATGAGACCAGACAGCAGATCCCATTAGTGTTTTTCCTTTCTTCTTGCTTTGGGTTCAGGTGTCATCGAGCAGAGATTTTTGGACATCTCACAAAGAATTTCGTTGCCAAAAATTACATTCACAGGCACTGGTTTCAGGGGAACGGGAGAGAAAATGTTCTTTCTGTTGATTCAAACTGCAGGTTCCTGTCTTCGGCAGTCCTCCTTGGTCTCAGCAAACCATATGGCTGAAGAAAGGCTTTTCTAGAAAATAATCCCCATACAGCAGGCATCAGCATTGCTCCTGCTTTCCTTTTGTTCCCTCTTCTATTCAGTGCAGTACTTGAACCTGGACACTGCTGAGTATTTACAGGAGGAATGAAATCGTAGAGGCACAAGCCATGGGGAGGCAGATAACATGACTACCCTCTTAAAGCACGTCCTTTGACGTATCTTGAGGGAAGATTGGTATTTCACCTTTTAAATACTCCTCCTACATGTAAGTCAACTGTGTGTTATTAAAAAAAAAAAAAGAGAGGATGTTTAGAGCTGGACACTCATCCCTTCTGTGGAAATACTTCCCCTCAGCATTTTAAATGCATATATCATCTCCGATCTGTCCGTATGCTCTGCCTCCTGCTGTAAAATGACACAAGCATTTTTTTTATCGCTAACTACTAATTTGAAACCCATGCATGACTGCTGTGGAAAAGAGCCTGGGAAGTTGCACCACAGCGCTCATTCTGCTCACCACAGCGCCCTGCAAAATCTGATGAAAATACCTGCTTTAAAGGGAAGACATTTTTAAAGTATGACAAATGAGCGTGACACAATGCTTAAACATGAAAGCGCTTGGGTTTTAAAAAAAGCAGGAAAACTTGTCAGAGAAAGTCATGGGCTGAGCATGAGGACAGAAGGAAAAGCTGAACTTTTCAGTCATACGTCCTGGTTTTTTTGGTTTGGTTTTTTTTTTAAATCAAGTGAAAGTGTCACTTTTCCACTTGGCGGCAGTGCTTTTGGATGAGCCAGTTGACTGAGGTTACTGTGCAGTTCCTGTCCTGAGCTGGTGGCTGGGTAGTGCCGTGTGAGTTCATAGAGAGTTAACCTGTATCGGCACAGTCAGCCCACTGAGTACTAAACCTGGCGTGTTACTAACCAGAAGACACGCAAGTCTTCACGACAGCAGGCGGGAGTTTTGTAATGGATCTCACTGGAGAAAAGTTCTTACCCGTCGTGGCTACTCGGCCAGAGTCACTGGAAAAATTTCTGTTCCTTGAGCAAGATCACGGGCACATCGCTGATGGAGCAAGCAGCTTTGCTAGATTATTTGGATGACATCTTGATCTTGCATTCTTTAGTTCTGATAATTTTTACACAAGCAAATTATTCTTTCCGTTTCTTGTCTAATCTGGAACTTAAATGTGGGAAGTATTTATCTTGGTGCTGCTAACTTCACATTTTTATACGGGATCCTTATCCTTTTTTTGTATTTTATTGTGCTTCAGTTTTCCACGGACAAACCCCTTCCTACGATTCACCCATACAAATCTTGCTGACTGTAAACTGATTATCCTTAGGGGTTTGTTGTGCTTTATCAAATCACGTTAAATTATGGTTGTTAAGGCTGAACACAGCTGCCTAACCCTTGATCTTTTCCTCATTACCTGCTAGGTGCTGTGCTAGACGAACGCACAGGAAAGGTGTTGGTTGTACAGGACAGAAACAGGGTAAGTTTGTTACAGGATTATAAAAGAGAAGTCTGTTTAGAAAAGCCTACTCTGGAGTATAAAACAAAGGTATTTTTATTTTCAGTCCAGTGCAAAATTGTGATAGTTCAAAGTTACTTCCTTTGGCCTGTGTCTTGGAACACCTCTATCAACGCATTGCTGTATTGCGTTTGAAGGAAAAAAAACAACCCAAACCCAACTCCTTTGAAAATCCACAGCTTTGTCATTAAATTAGAACTGGTGATTGAATCAGCAGAACTAAGTGTCCTTTCTGCTTTGAGTATTCTGGTTCCTGCTGTACCTGACCCAAGAGTCCCTGATCTTGTGTTTGGATCCATGCAGACCTCTGGAAAACCCCCAGGGCTCGAAGCAGATTTTGGGCAAAGGATTCTGATTTTGTTTGGTTTTGAAAATTCCAAGCATATCTGTGGCTTTAAACAAGTAGTCACATGGTTGGCCTTGACCTGGAGACCACCTTAGTACAGCAGGTGTAAAGACCATTAATTTCTCACGAACTGAAGTGCTTGACCTCACTGCTGACACTGCCAAACCAGAGAGTTTTCGTGTGGTGATGGTGGGTCGTGTGATGTGGCTTGAGGTAACCAAGCATCCATCACCGGTAATGGCTTCCAGAGCCTCGATCAGGCTAACCCAGGTCTTACTGCAGCGAGTGCAGAAAGCTCGCCAGCTCACTGGCGGTTCTGAAGATGAGCTTTTGCTATTCCATTTAAAATACACTTTGCTTCCATGATGCTTCCATGTGTAGATTAAGTAAAAGTGTCTCTAGTACAGCGAGATTAACTGCCGTGTTAACGTGGGAACAATTGGAACTCACTGCCATAGGCTGAGGTATCCTTGGACGTATCATCTTCATTTCATGTAGTCAAAACTCTGGCAGAAGCTCACTGGCTACATTTTTCTGTCTTTACTGAAATTTCTTCTTGGGACCCAGAACATCGCTGCAGTTCGCTGGTAACTACAAGACAGTTAACGAACTTCAGTGAAGGGCCCTTGCGTAGGGGCCCTTTCAGTCGTATGACGTTGAATTCCTAATGCAAGAGTTCAGAGGCAGAGAAACACCCCTTTCTTGTTTCCTGTAAACTATTTCTTCTGTATTTTTACTTACCGTAAAGTAAAATTTCAAGGACTGCTCCATAGCAGGACCTTCAGGCTTACATTTAGTAACTACCAGTTAAAGCATACATCCAGCATGCAAGCTACAGGCTCCGAAAGCAGTTCCAGTTCTAGTCTCCAGGAACAGAGCAGCACATTGTGTGAACTTCAGAAATGCCACCTTTATTTTTCCTTTTAAGCACACAGGAGATAAAAAACTGCATGCTTACCTTTCAGTAAATACCTTAAGCAGGTCTCGAAGAGTAAAAACAGCAATTGCACCTTCAGCATATTTAGAAGGAAGAGGTCGTTTCCTAAGCCCAGGAGGCTTAAGGTTTGACTTCTCCACGCTGTGGTTTTGTTAAAGCTCACCCACAGCCACTCAGGGCAGATACCTCCTCCTCCTGGTTTTACCATGAGACATCAGATGCTCTGTTCAGGTTCTCACGGGGCTTCACCTCCTTGGCCTCTGGCCCCCAAACACACGAAGACCAGCCTGGCCACGGCTCTTCCCTCCAGCTCATTCTGAGAAGCGGGATGGGTAGATTCCAGGTCAGCTCTTCCAGCTTACCTTTCCAGAACAAAGCTGACAGCGCAGCAAGTGAAGAAGGTGAGAGGAAAAAAGTGATTGTTTCTGACTCCCCTCTTCACAGCTCTTTGACTGGCTGCATAAAATGAAGTGTAAAACTGGAAGCGTGGGACACCCGTACATTCCTTGTGCGGTGAATAAACAGAACCTCTGTCTCGGTGCAAGCAAATTGGCTCAGCCAGTTGCTGCCCACTCTCAGTTCCGCCGCTCTTCTCCCTTCTCCATGAAACAAACATTTCCCTGAATGTGTTTCCCTGACTTCTAATACAAATGAGAAAGTTCAGTACGCTTAAAAGAAAAAAAACAAACAGCTCGTGGAATTTTAAGAGCTGTTTGGGTTCAATCATGAAAGGACAATTCCACAGCACACAAAGAAAGATTTCCAGGAGCTGAAAGCAAATCTGAAAGCCAGTAGACAAATACATGTATTTTCCATCTGGCTACGTTTTTCTGCCTTTCCTGAAATCCACTATTTTTCATCTGTTACTTTAAATTCCTATCCCAGCCCTTTACGAGTGCCCAGCAAAAAAAACATTTTCCAGTGTAGTCGGTGGGGTTTCAGATCACTGGAAAGCACACAGCTTCCCTCTCTGTGCGACAGGTACAGGAAAAGCTACCTTTTTCCTTGCCTGCGTACCTTGTTACTGCATTAATTTCTAGTTTAACTTCTTCCTACATAAACTTTCAAGAAGAAAGGAATAGGACAGAGGTGTAGAGGTAAAGCCCGCAAATCTTCATGCATTTGCAAGAGGTGTAGGAGCCAGGACCCCTTTGCCAGTAACAGCACCAAGTCTGCACTCGCATTGTTTGAAGTACTGAACTTTATTGTGATTCGATAGACACGTCCGTATGTGAATCACACACAAGGCCTCAGGTTTTGTATTCTATGAAAACAGTCGACAAGTTACACTAAATGGTTATTGCAGACACACAGTCATCTTAAAGGCAGTGCAGTATAGAACAGTACTACAGTCATCGTACCTGTTTGTAAGATTAAATACATACACTTTTTTTTAAAAGCCAGGACCATGGAAGTGGAATAATCAGTGATTAAATACAAGATTATATAGTCGATAGCAGCTTTTTTAAATACTCATCTACTCTACCTAGTTATCTAGCAGCAACGTCGTCCAATGACTGTTAGGCAGTTGGTATTTTCAATCAGTAGATGTTTTGTTCAGCGTTTCCTCCAGACTGTCGATAACCTCTGATCATCGCATTAGCAAGAACAAAGAAGTTCCTACTCAAAGCCTTACTGCTGTTTGTGAGCGTAATGACAATACTGCAACTTCAGCAACAACAACAAAAAGTCACCTGTTAATTGTCTCCTTCATGTCAGAGGGTACACCTCATTGTGTGTTCTTCCTCCCACACAGACTATAAATGCGTGGAAGTTTCCAGGAGGTCTGTCCGATCCAGGCGAAGACATCGGTAAGCCCTAGGGTAACAGGTCAGGCGTCACAGAATCGTAAGGACATAAAGAGCACTGAAACACGTCGTGACCCACCGCTGCTACAACTTAACAGCTGCTTTGAGCTGATGGCGACGAGGTGGAGTGATACGGTCCTATGACCTTAATGGCAATGGGGTGACATTATGTTCAGGGCAGCGGGGGGTTGTATTTTTAACATTTACCCTTTTCCACGGTTTCTTGTAAGTGAGGGCTTGAAGGCAGCTGCTTTTTTTGTAGGCTGGTTGGATAGGCTGTAGTGCAAGCCAGAAGTGCAGAGGATTAAAGGTAATCAGTATAAAACCCAAATAAAACTGAAACAGGGAGCTCTCGGCTCACGCTGGAATCCAGGGCAGTGAGCTCAAGGACGGACTGAGCAAAACTTTCCAACTCTCCATTTTTATGGGCAAAAGAGAAATAAATACACTTGCTTCCTTCCACCCTTGTTCACTGGATTTGGCAGGCTGAGCGCTCTGTGGCACAGGACCAGCGTTAAGTGCAGCGCTTCAGTCTTGTGGGCACCGACTTCCAGCCAGAGGCTAAGGCCCTCCTGTGTCAAAACCAGCGCTGCTTGGAGGAACCGATCCATTCTACCCAGCGTAGCACAGGCGGCCATGAGCGCTGCCTCAGTTATTTTCAGAGGTGAATGAACAGGGGTGTTTGTGAGGAGATGCAAAACTGCCCTTTTTCTCTCCTTGGATCTTGCCCCTTAAAATCATGATCTGCAGACTGGTTAATGCTGAAGTTATACCGCAGTTATTAGGCAGGTCTTGTTTTCAAAAGTTACATTTGCTCACATTAAGGTAGCCCCACATCACTACTCAGATGTGAATATATTCTCCCAGTAACTCAAAAATGCTGCCCACAGCGATGCAGCAGCTCTGGCAAACTGGGTATTGAGCCCCAGGTCCCTTCGAAATACTGGCTACTTCTGCAGCCTTCCTGCCGCAGCCCACGGAGGGCTTGCATGGCAGTTCGTGACTTCAGTACCTGGAGGACATTTCTAGTTAGCTGGACACGGCCGAGTTTTCGTAACTGAGCCATGTTGTAAGTCTTTTTGTCAAAGACGGTGACAGAAATCAAAACTATTTGCTTGACAGCACAAACATGTAGAACACAGTGAAATGGATTCACGTTAGCAGGAGTTTCCCCAACGCCGTGTTTGTCTGGCCAGGCTCCTGTTCGCTTCTGGTGACAGAGAGCAGCTCTCGGCCAGGAGGTACCAGAGGGAATTTTGTACTGGGGGAAAAGAATGGCCAGCACCTGCCACAGCCTCCCCAGAGGAATTCTGTCAGGGGGTGAGCCAGGGCCATCCCTCAGGTGAGATGATGGCTGGAGCCTGGATGGAGGTGTTGGGGAACTCCTCGCCTGCCACTACTGAACTACAGAATAATAAAAGTTACAGTTCTCTGCATCACATCTTAGTACTACAAGAAAGTATAAATTAGTGAAGCATAAAATATAATAGAGCTTAATTTTCCTTTCCTTTAATCCTTAGGTCAAACCTTACAAACTCACAGTCATTCAAGGAGCTGAATTTCAAATTACAGTTACAAATTGCAATTACAATGCTTGAAGAGCCCCTGATTATATGAAGTGACAAAACATACGGCTGCCTACTTAATGAGTACAGACTGACTCGTGCAAATCATCTGAATAGTTTCAATAATGCAGATTAAGCAAAGTGCACACATTTTTGTATTTGAGTATTGAAACACTCAAGCCCTAGTGCTTCTTCTAGTTTAGCTGTCATTATATATTTTTTTTATATATATATATATACACACATTTAAATAACAGGGAAACAAAGGCACTTTATCTAAACACCAAGCTCAAAGCTTAAATGAAACCCCTAATTATTTCGGTTTTCCTACCCATAGCCTGCTTCAGCATTCCTCATCATCTCGGCTGTTTACCTTCTCTGACCACTTCCATGTAATACAGCCCCGTGCCAAATAAAACGACCGCTTGCCAGAGACTTGCTTCACAACCACTATCTTAAACCAGAGGACTGCAGAGGCCCCTCTGGGCAGCATAAAACACAACTCTGCAAGGGTCAGCAATGGTAAACGAGTACCTTTCCCCATATGCAGTAGCCTTTTAACTAATTAATACTGTATTAAAGTCACGGGCATAAACGTTCTACAGGCACCACTTACTAATGGGTCTCCAGTCCCACAAACACCTCTATATACTTGGTGTAACCTTTACACACCTCGTTCCATTGCAAGACGGAGGTTGAGCCGTGCAGAATCGGGGCCATGAACTAGAGTTGTTTGGCCTCTGCTGGATAAACCATTTCCTTACACATTGCTGGCCACTGTATGTCCATGTTATTTCCAATATTTGAAACTACCCCTAGAACGTCTGTTTTGTTCACCTCTGACACATCACGGTGCAAGCCTCCGCAGGAAGGTGAATCACTACAAGGTCTTTTAAAGTATTTTGCTTTTGCAAATAAGCCAACACACTCATTTCTTAGTGAAAAGGAACTGACGAAAGCAGGTAACACTGCAGAACAGCTGTGTGCATGTACCACTCGGGACACAACTACGAGTTTACACAGACTTGGAAAAACCTAGTGCTTTACCTACCAGTAGTTACCCCAGGCAAGTAGGATTTGGCTTGACTACAACAGAACTGCAGACTTTGGGGAACATAAGTGGAATATCAAAAATCTCATTTGGGCTCTTCAAGTTATTATTCAAGAGAAAACTCTTCTCTTTTGAAGAGTACTGGGTAGGCGGGTAATTTCCCGGCTGTAGTTGCCGTAGGCAGACCCTGTAGACCCTTGCAGTTGGGATGAGGAGCATTAACCCATCGCTTTGGGTGATGCACACGAAATGCACACGTGCAGCACAGATGCAGCATGTTTTCTGCAGGAACAGGCTACGTGCTGTACTGTATTAGGGCATATGGGAAATGTCACGTGTCACTTAAGATGCGTCTTGAAAAGGACTTTGTGCTGACTTTCACTTTCTTCCAACAATGGTTTTACCCATTTTGTTACAGCTTGTGGCAAAGTGCAGTTAAACAGATGTGACCAAGTGATCAGACACAGGTAGAGGTGTTCGGCTGTGCGGGGTCTGACTCTGAAACCGGGCAGGGCAAGGAGAGAGCCAGGGGCTGAGACCGACAGGACTGAAAAGGGGGTGCAGTGCTGTCTTGGCCTAAGAGATCACACACCAGCATGTCCACTTCAAAACCAGACCCTGCACAGCATCGCCAAAAGTTTCTCACTTCCATCACTTTGTAGGCGATACACAGGAAAGGCACCTAGCCATCAGCTTTGCTCGGGGACCAGAAAATCAGCTTATTAGGCTTACATTCCGCCACGCCTATGGAGCGGAACAGAGAATGCTTCGAGTTGGAGACTTTCCATGCTCAAAAGGTTTAAAGAGTGTTAAGCTATTCCTACGTGTCCTGTAAGGATTGCTCTTTTCGCCTAGGAGACACAGCAGTTCGAGAGGTTTTTGAAGAGACTGGCATCAAGTCAGAGTTCAAGTCCATCCTAAGCATAAGACAGCAACACAGGCACCCCGGAGCCTTCGAGAAGTCCGACATGTACGTCATCTGCCGCCTGGAGCCCTCCTCCTTCCACATCAGCTTCTGCCAGCAGGAGTGCCTGAGGTGTGAGTGGATGGACCTCGATCAGCTGGCTAAGACGAAACACGCTACCCCCATCACCAGCCACGTAGCTAAACTCTTACTTTACGGATACCGGGAAGGGTTTGAGAAGATCGATATAACCATGAGAGAGTTTCCGGCTGTCTACGCAGGCCTGTTCTACAAACTGTACCACAGGGAGCTGCCCGAGTCCTATAGAAACATGACGTGATAGCAATACATTTCACATTTCGTTATATTAATAATTTATCGTTATTACTGTAGTGTTATATAGACCATTAAAATTATCCATGGACTTCTTTTTAGGTAATTATTAGAAAGTAATTTACTCTATTCGCTATAGCTATAAATTATTTTTAAAGGTAAATATTGCTGTAAGTGTGCATCAGGTTTGTCTTCCTTTACTCTGTAAAGCAAACATAAAGTAAATAAAATAGCTTTACATAGATACCTAGCAGAAAACAGAAGTGTTATTGATCCTGAAAATATAATTTCTGAGTAATTCCACCTCTACACACACTGGCACAGTGGGTTTAAGAGCAATACAGAGACATTCGTGTTTTAATCTGCTATCTGCAAAAGCAGTTAGTATCAGCAAATGATTGCTTCTATTTTTGCTACTTCAGAGGAAACTCGACGTCTTTAGCGTAGTGCGGCGTGTGTGCTGGGAATGCGCTGTGGAAATCAGCTTTTAGCTGACATGGGGAGGAAAAGGATAGCTTTCTGTCCAGGTCCAGTCTTTGGTCCAGGTTTGTACTGCCCAGTTCTTTTCAGTGCCACGTACCAGTCGGAGTATTTCCGTGATCGGTAAGTGTTATAGTTATTGGATTCCAAACGCTCAAAAAAGAAACATTCTTCTGTTGCACATTTCTAAAAGGGAAAAAGAAAAGGATTGTTAGTACTCCTATCACCAGTCAATTCTGCAGGTTCATGGGACTAACCAAGAAGTGTAAGAAATTCATTGAATGTTTCACGTTTGAAGAAAGATACAGTTACTGCGAAAATACTGTTAAATTAAAACACCTACAAGAAGAAGAGTTTTTAACTGTGGTTCATTTACTGTCTCTAACCCAGACCAAGCACGCTCTAGTTTGTTTTCACTACGTAATTCTTTGTTCTGATCTGAAATTCAAACACTAAATGAAGAACCCTGTCCCTTGGCACTTACTGACTTCCACGCTCAGCAGCTGTGCCGTCTCATCCTAGGGTATAGTTTAACCAGGAAGAACAGCGGGACGCAAGAGAAAGGGCACTATTTCCCTTGCCTCCCTCAAACCAGCCTTCTTGCCAATTACATAAATCGTATGGCACGGAGTTTCAGCCTTTGCTTAGTCTTTTTTTAACTTCGAGGTTTAACTTTTTTCCTAAAGCTAATTCAAGTCTATTTATAGCTCTCTGAACCAGTGCCAAGCCTGCGTCTGTTCAAGATCTTTTAAAATTCAAAACTTCACAAATAATTTTAAGACTGGACCTGGCAAGGAGTTCTATTCCACATACAGCCCAAGCACACCCTACTAGTGTTCGGAAGTGCATCTCTGGAGTTATTCTACTTCTGGAAGTCTTCAAAACCAACGCCACCTACGTGGAATTAACATGCAGCCCTCACACTTAGCAATCACAGCGGGTGGAAGTTGAGCTGTGGAGCTCCTTGCCATAGGAAGTTACGGCTGCCCCCAGCTTGCATGGATTCAAGTCACTTCTGGACAAGGTGATGGAAAAGAAATCAGCTGAAATTTACTAAATAGGTAAAAACCTTTCTTGGCTGGAAAGACCCCAAAGCTGAGACTGGCTGGAGGCTGGGAGACCAGTACCAGGAATTGTATGTCTTTCCTTACGCGCTGCATTTGATCATCATCAGACAGAAGATGCTCAACTGCGTATCGAGCCCTCAAAAGGTAACCCTGCCCTTAAGGAGCACAGCGTGATGTACCTTCTCCCGCACACGGCAGAAACCACTGCTCCCTCGACCATACGAAGAGTCTCCATTTTCAAATGGTCCCATTCCTGTCAGCAGCATCACGCAAGGCAGGCGTTACCTATTGCAAGACTTTAACCCACAAATCTTCCTGGAATGCTGTTACTGCCTGGGGGACTTGGCACGCAGCTAATTTAACGATGATTAGTATTTACAGCCGTTTGTAGGCAACAGAAAACAGGAAAGTTTATTCGCTTTCTGACATCTACATGGTTCCACCTCTGTATCGAAAACGTAGGAGGACGTAGAAACAGCTTCCAGTCAGATCTCATTCGGCAGGAAGAGGATCGCTATCGGCATTAACTGCATTTATCCCAAGACACACTCACAACAGCAGAACACCCGTCAGCAGACCGCATGGCTCTCGCAGCAGCAAACCTGCCTGCAGAACCCGCGCTTGGAGCAAGAGAAATTATTTTCTCCAATACCAAGACGGCACAAGTTCAGCACCGCAGGAACTTACTGGAGCTGGGGCTGGCAGTGGTGGGGGGTGGGGGGGGCCACTTTCTTTCCACATGGACCATCTGTCAGTCCAACTCAGTCATACTCATCTACCCAGAAGATTTTTGGGAATGCCAGAAGAGGAGAGAAACTATAGTTATTAACAAGAAAGCATATAAAAATCTTGGAGAGGAGTCAGGGAACGTGAAGCAAGGCCCTAAACAAGCAGGCTACTCACTGTTAAAATCTTCTGTTACTATTCACGAATATATAATCCAACCAGAACTAAAACGTGAGCCTGGAACAACTGGACTTCATACAGTATGCACAAAAACATACAAGAAGAGAGCAACTCCTCATCTATGCCAAGTTTCTGTAGCTACAAGCAATTAAGTCATTCCGATGCAGTCTGGAATAAAGTGACCTGTCTCCAAACATATGTCTTCAAATTGAAGCTTTTTCCTCCACCTTAACCATTTTCAGATACCAATTCTGGTTTCTAAGGAAAAGAACTTGTAAGAGAAAAGCCATATGCCACTGCTGATTTCTATAACTCACTAATATTTTTACATTTCAAATAGCAGAAATCAAATTAACAATTTTCATATGATCTGTATTTTAAATAGCCTTTCTCAAGATAAATTGTATTTTAATGCCCTTTGTTCCAGCAATGTGAAAACAGATGTATTAATCATCTCAAGCCACAGGTCCAAACCTAAAATGGATTGCAGCTGCCTTAAGAGGGGACAGAAACCGTGTAAGGAAAAGCAGTATTTCAGAGCAAAATCCAACTTTTTTAAGCAGAGTTTAGCCAAGTTCAGTACAATTGCCCAAGCTGGAAATTCTGGCAAAGAGACCATCACAGCCAGCTTGCACCTCGCCTCCACCTCCTACCCGAAGCGGTGGCACTTCTGGAAGCGCTGAAAGAGCGGGCGGCACGGGTGCTGAGGAGGTGCCGGGCAGGGCACGGCCTCCGAATGCCGCAGCACCAGGTTCCTCTATGCAGGCTTCCCGGGCAAGCCCCGGCCGGTGTGGCTGCGAGCTGGGAAGGGAGATGGGATGCCCAGCGCCAGCAGGAGCAGAGTCCTGCTTCAAACTCCACTAGGAAGTAAATGGCTTCTAGCGCGCCCGCGGTGAACGCAAGCGGCCACTGCCAGACCCCACGTACAGACAAGAGGCAAATTCACACTAAATCCACAAAGTAAACACAATCGCAACTCAGAGAAACACATAGTTTTTCTTTAGCCTTCCTCATCTCAGGTTTAAAAAGAAAAACAGACTAAATTCCTCAAACAGATACTCAGGCAATTGACAGGTGTTATAAAAAATAATCAAAGGGTGAAAAAAGAAAAAGATAGATAAAACCTTTTTTTTTTTTTTCCCCACATTCATCAAGATGTTCTGCAGTGTGCCATGCAATTCACTCTGGACACTCAAGTCCTCATTTCTCCACAAAGCCTACCTGATACCACTGCTTTCCTACAGGGCGTTGCCAACATAAATATTTTGACATGAAAGTGAACGTTTAGGTGACAAATGATAGTTCAGGCTTCACGAACTAGTATTCCTGAACATCTGCCGAAGGCCACATTTCAGAAGCTGGACTGCTGTCCAGCAGGAGTGGGATGCTGGCCACCGCGCTGTGAGACTCAGCCCCTGGAAAAACCCTGGGTATTCTTTTTTTTTTTTTTTTTTAAAAAATACACTTTGGCCTAGGCTGCATTCCAAGCGGTGATCTGGCAGGGGAAGCTTTCCCAGCACATCACGCGATACCTGAACCCTACAGCCCTTCGTGAACAGGATACAGGAAGGGAAAACGCTCGGGGCAGTGGCAGGGAGCGAGTGCCACGCGCCACCAGGCAGCGTTTTGTCTGCTGCCAAGCAAGACCTCCACCCAGAAGAAGCCTGGGCGACTAAATCAACCGCCGAGCGCAGGAGGTTTTAACGTTAGCAGCGTTGGTCGCAGCTGCGCCCATATGACGGTCTGCTGCATGCCACTGCTCTCAGCAGCCAAACCGTAACGACCGCTGAAATCCTGATGGATTCAGGATCACCAGCGCAGAGGAACTGACCGAAAGAGGCAGCAACTTCCTGCGACAGTTCTTGCACGGCCAAACGCCACCCACTGATTGATCTTTGAGCGTAAACTGCATCTGCTTTAGTATCACACTGTGCCCATTAACTGGTTTTAACATTTTGGACTCAGATTAGGAATTAAAATGCCTCAAGGTTGTTCATTCTCAAAACTGAAACCAGAGGGTTAACCTGTAACTACCACAGCAGATGGCAGTTTGACCCAAGAAAGGTAATGATCATATTTAGCCTTTTCTAACTACGAAAGGGCCAGGAAATGAAGGTTATTCTCACAAATATTCTTGTATCACAATTTTAATCCGTAACATCAAAAGCGGAGAATTCCCTTCAAGTCCTTCGGCCTGGCAAAACCTGTCTGGTCACAGCAAAACCACAGAAGCAGGACAGACAGAACCAACAGGTCGTATCCTGCAACGCCAAATTATTTCTTGTGAAATATAAAAGTTACTCAAAAGTGCAATTCTTCCTTTCATGGGAAATTTTGAGAAATGTCTCCATGAAATGAAATAATCAAAAGTGAAAATATTTCATTATAATTAAATGAAACTGGAAAGTCAAAATGAGCCGTATCAGAAGTAAAATGTTTCAATTTTTCCATTAAAAATCTGATGGAATAGATACATTTCTGCACAAGTATTTTTAGTTAAACCAGCATTTTCCAAGGAGAGGTTTTGACTGGCTGCATTAGTAACCAGCCATTCCCTCCGGTGACTGAACTGGTGAAGATCATCACCTCTCCCCCACAACAACTGAGTCTGTCAGTAAACACCAAGCACAGAACTGCTAAATTAAAAGCCGTTCACATCCAGCTTGAAGACAAGAACGTGATCTGCGGCACCACCACGCAAATCACCAGTGGAAGCAGTGGCACGTTGGCTAAGCAGTAAATCATTTTGCAAGACCCAACTCCAAACAGACCATGAAAGCATGTCCCAACAAAGTAACGACAAAAACATCCAACTAGATGAAAAACAGGACTGAATAATCATTTGTGATTTTTGAAGATGCTGATATAAAACAAGAACACTGCGCAAACTGACCCTTAACACTGAAAAGCAGTAAAAAAAGAAGAAAAAAACCCAGATGTTAAGAAGGACAGAGGGGTACTTGAGTGACCAGTGGGTCAGAGAACTAAATAGGTGTTTAGAAATTAAATTTCCATAGTGTTTTAGAAGAAAAACTCCAAGGTTTCAGCAGATATGCACTGATGAGATCGCTTCACTGCAAAGATTTCCAGCATGTGCTCTTTCAGAGCCCTCACTGAAACACAACACTGCTCAAACTGAAAAAGAAACGCTGGCAATTAGGAACGGTTTCATGTGTTTATAGGCAGAAAACAGTAGAGGCACAATTGGCCGCAAACTGCTGGAAGTTGCAGTACAGAGATCCTCATGGAAAAAACACTGCCTGTGCTGCAGAAAGAGATCGTGAAATTGCAGAAGTATTCATTGGGCTGGTGGAAGACCGAAAACTTCAGAGAATTTCCACCTCTGAGTAGCCAAAACGAAGAGCTGTAGGAAGTAGCGTTTGCAGTAAACACGAGTCACGTAATACCCATTTCCAGAAACAAAGCAAAACAAAACCGACATTTTATAAGCTCGAGTGAGAAGCATGAAGTGACCCAACTCTACCAGATTTTGAGGGAGTAGTTCCGAGTGGACGGCAGATCCTTTCCAAGCACATCGCCTCACCAGAACTAAGCAGATCAAATCGCTGCAGACAGCTGCAAGGGAAGCATGTTCTACAACCCAAACCCACCATACAACAGTAGGCTGGAAATCCCAAATATAAACATAAACGCACCCAGGTGTTTATCATTTAAAAAAAGGTGCTAAACACCCTGTTTTGACCATTCACTCTCGCTCACGGCAGGAGGGCAATTTGAACGGGAAGCCGAATGCCGCCACACCAGCGCCACAGGAAATTCCCAATTATCCTTAACTCCAGAATAGCACAGCGGACTGACTACTCCTCACATTTTCTTCAACTGAGCTGTCACCCCATCCCCGAGCACGTAACGCCGTAACTTGAAACGGGTTCTTTAGCCGTGTTCACAGGCACGAACCAAAGGGGCTCCTCGGAGCCAGAGAGGCGCGGTGCTGAGGAGCACACGGGGGAGCTGGGCTCCCGGACAGCCCTGCTGAAGTGCTTTCTTTGCCTTCAGGCTCCTTTCACTCCGGCAGAGCTGGGGGAATCAGCCCCGGCAGCCCTTGGCAGGGGTCTCTCATCAGGTTCAGCTGGGTGAGGAGCGCCCGTCGTTATTGACACCTCTTACCGGCGGGGACTCGCGCGGAAGCTGCGTGGGGCTGCGTGCACGACACCACAGCATCAGGGACTACTTCAAACCGAAATCCTGTAGCAGGATGCCCCAGGGCGGCACTGCACAAGCGCTGGGAGTTTGTCCGCACCGAAGGTTACAAACAGGGATGACAGATGGATGGTGCCTGCGTCTCATAAGCGAAATGAATGGAACTGCAGCTCTTAAGGGACACTTTGTAATCCAGCCCTAGGAGACCTTACTAGCTTTCAGAGGCTGCTGAACACACTGGGTTTAGAACAGTTAAAAATTAGGCTGACACCAATAAAATGCACAGTTTAAACAAAAACTAGTCTCACTAGAGACTAGCTTAATTTACCTACATTCGTGTAACTTTTAAATTATTTTATCATCACATTTTCAAAAATGTTTTTCTTGCCAGTTTTCTGGTTTGGCAGTACACCCAACCAAAATACTTGATTCTCTTTGAAGAGGAAAATGAGAAAACAATGTATACAGATTGCTATAAAAAACATTAAACTCTAAATTTAAAAAAAAAATGGCTTTACTTTCTACTTCAAAAGGGTCTTTACAATCACTTCATGTGAAAGGAAGTGAAAGACAAAAAAATTATTTGGAGGGGGGGGGAACGGGACGGCAGGACAACGGACACACACGACACTTGATTCTCCATTTGTTCTTACAATTTCCTTCTCTACGCGATCACTATGATGTCTCTCCCTCAGCCAGGCCATTCCGGTTACGTTTTGCGGCTTCTAGGTGAGGGCAGACATACTCCAACTCATAATTCAGTTAACTGACAGAAGTTGTGCGGAGCTGATTTCTCCCTGATAAATGACACACGGACAAGCTGAGCAAGTCCTGCTGGAGAGAGGTTACTCAGCACAGAGCGAGGAGAGGACCTACCAGCACAGACACGCAAACACACACACAGATAAACAGGAAAAAAACTGCTGCTTACCAAGGCCAGCAATCTGCCGTCCTCATTCATAGCCAGAAAGCGATTTGCGCTCACACCTTTGATTGACACCACTCCTCTTTCTTCTGCTTGAAGCTGCAGTTTGACTGCGAACAAAAAAGACAGGAGTAAATTTTCACAGCCATCGTGGGATTTCGGCACTTGACGGCGAAGCCTAAAGCTTCAAACCTCAAACCAGAGAAAGCCTGAGCTTCAGCTTGCAGCGAAGACTGTAAACTTTCAACCTCTAGCTTTCTGATCCCATTTTTCATCGAAGAAAATGCTTATTACAAAGTGAGTAGCTATTGTCAAATTGGCAGCAATCAGCGTGAGTTATTGTTCTATCTTCACATAAAAGCAACTTAAAAACCCATAAAATTCCTTAAGGGCCACTTATGGCACAGTCAACTGCTCACAGAAAATGGAAATTCTTCATGGCAATTTTCCTGTGGAAGTATTTCTTAACGTTTATAGAACGGCATCCCACACTGAACGCATGCAAGTCCATACAGCTAGGCTGTCAGAGAGGCACGAGGCTGGACTACCATTAAGACCATTCAGGACAGTATCACGCACTAAATGTTCTAGCAGTTCCCAACAGAGAAATACCAGTTTACATCATACATCCAATAAGAGGTTAAAATAAACAAACAGAAAGAACTGCAGAAGTAGACGACGACAGCAAAGACACAAGAAACGGTATTATACAAATTAGGAACATGAAAAGTGGGTTTATTTGAATCAATTATTTAAAAAAAAAAAAAATGAAGAGTCATGTTTTTTTGGAAACCTGTAAGGTCGGATCCCATAGCTTTTAGCTACTGCCTGTGAATGAACACAAAGCCAAAATGGGTTTTTCTAGCCACAAATCGCATCCAGTAGTTTAGATTAACAGACAAGCGTCTTCCCCTTTGCCCGCAGCTTGTTTCAAGCGGTAAGCCAAAAGCAGTCTCCACCTAAATCCAGGAGAGCTGTTGGCTATTTTTTCCTCTTTTTCCTTCCCTGAGTGTTCACATCCCTGCATTCAGAGCGAGAAATGAATCAAGCCTTTAAGTGGTTAAAACAGCAGAGCCAGGAAGTTGCATCTACGCTGCATTTCAGGCTAACCCTTAACAGGAGTATCTGTGACACTGCACCTCAAAGTTCAGGTTTTTCAACCATTAGCTACACAGGATGGGGAATACTACAGTACAAGAAACTACGCCAAATAGCACAGCAAAGTCCACCAGATACCTTCTGTGTGACTTAGGTAGTTGTGGCTCAAAAGAAACCTAAACGCTCTCTTAGAGCCATTTTTCTGGAGAGGAGGAGGAAAAATAAGGAACGTACGTGCTGTCCTAAACCTCACAGAAGATCCTGTTCTATTCCGACCATTTTTAGAACTTCTCCCTCTGAAAACCTGACTTGGATTATTTGAAACATCACTTAAAAAACGGGGGAAAGGCCCATACAGCAAGTCAAATGAGCTCTTTGGACTGCTTGCAGCTTGACGTGTTGTCCTTTCTCTCCCCTCCTCAAGCAAAATACATGCCCATTCCCTGCAGCTCCACCCCATCGAGCCAGCTTGCACAGGCAGTACAATTCAATTTCTACTAAAAACAAACACAACCACTTCAGTAACAGAAGAACACAAGAAATCAGATCTCCCAAAACCCCTAGGTTTCCCTCTAGTCTGGATGGCCATTATTTCCAGTGAAACCCGCACCTGCAAACCCTCTCACTCACAAAAAGAGCATCAAGCCCAGATGAGCACTGTTTTTCTCTGCAATACTGTGCTTTCATCCACAGTTCCACTAAACATGGACTTTTAAGAGCAGTTGTAATTCCGTAACAGGAAGCAAGATCATTGCAACACAGGCATCAAAAACGAGGAACAGTTGAGAAACAGCTTCTCACCTTCTTGGGATGTGTAAAGACAAAGAAAGCTTTTACCAAAGAATTGCAGCAGCTAAAGAAGGAACAAGTGGGATGTCGCAAGCTGGTACTGGTTATGTGTCCATCAGGTGTCCAAATGAAGGATGTGACTCATCTGGTGTGAGACTATCGGTGTTTCCAAAAACGACCTGGACTGGAACTTCTCCCTCCTGCTTGCATCCCAGAAATTATTTTGGGAATTAAAAACATTTTCTATTTGAAGACACTATACAGAGACCTGAGCATGACAAAAGCCCAGCTAGAGGAACCGACAGCTGCGCTCCACTCAGTCACAAGGGCTCGGCCCAGGACTGGCATCGCTGTGCGTTTGCCCGTTTCTTTCTTTGAAGGGTTCACGACCGACACGTACCTGGGTCCGTACGGCAACGCTGGTACGGCAGCTTAGCGGGGGAAGTCTGATGGGCAACACTGGTACCCGTCATCTCAGACATGAGCCCCATGCACCTGCCTGCTTTTGTGGAGTACAGAGTTGCTTCTATTTAATGATGCAGTTTTAAAGAGCTTGACCTTTTCAGCCACCAGAACAAACGCTTGAAGTCACTGTAAATTCTGGAGCGGGAGCATCTCTTGAGATTCAAGAGGGCGGTTGCTGCTTATTTGGCTTTTTGTTGTGGGGAAAAAGAGATTTTTTGCGATACAAATGAAAACTTTTTTGGTTTACCTCTGTTGTTCCTAAAGACAGGACCAAAGAAACTCCAACAAGAAGAATACCAGGAACATAAAGTCTTTAGGATAATTGCTGCAAGCCCTTTTGTAAGCATTAAAATTATTTCATCTGATTTCTCCCTACAGACAGACATCAGTAAGAGCGGCTCGTGATTTCTATACACAACTGAAGCCATCTTAATACAAACGCTGCACTCTAAAGAGATAAAATGGTTTCTTACGAATTATGTGCCTGTTGCCATTTTGCACAAAGAAAAAAAACCAAACCCCTCATAATTCACTAACAACTTCAGACTTCCAAGGAAACCTCGGTAGTTATAAAAAGGTGAAATGTTTAATTTCATCCCAGAATCCGGTGTCCAAAACAGAGCCCTCCCGAGTTATTAGGCCAAAATCAGACTTGTGAACAGCTTCGAAAACCTTCACTGCAACTCCTAGCCCTCCGGGGAAGCCAGAATGTGGAGAACTGCTCTGGGCAGGGACTGGGGGAAATGGGACTTCTGAGATGTGCCCAAGCACACAGCTCTCACCACACACGTAACAAGAAACAGCTGTGTGAAATATCTGAAAAGTACTATTAATTACCGCAGTACAGACTTACTCTGCTTCGTGACTTTCTTGACAAAAAAAAAAAGCACACCAACTCCTAACAGCTCATACCGGGCCAGAAGTTCAGATTCTGTAAAAACAAACTTTTAGTAAAGGTTTTTAAGGCCTGTAAAAATATTTGTATAGTTTGGAGAAGCCTGTGAAAAGTGTTTCTCTTTAAAATGGAAAAAAATAATACATATATATATATATATACATTTTCCTGCAGATTTTGAGAAGTGCTGCAATACTGAAAGCCCCCAAAGCCAAATCAGCTTCACCAGATTTTCCTCTTCAACTCGAAAAACACATGAACAAACAGAACAGCCCTGTAAGTTTTCCAGGTTTCAGCGTTATTTTAGGGCTTTATTAATGTTTATCTGGAGATGCCAAGATACAATGCAACCTTACTCATCGAACACATTTTGACCATGCAATCATCACCAGAAGCAACAATTTTAGGTTTAGCTCAAAGCAACTTGGTACAGCTGGTGACAGGAGAAATGTTAACACTTGACACGGGCGATCTGTATCTTTCACAGCCTTTAGGTCACCAACAGCAAGAGTTCAGACACGGGCCATCATTTCAGATCTACTCGTAATGCTTGTCTTCAACATACTTGATCCTCAAAACCAGATCCACTAAAGTAAACTAATTAAGAAGTTTGTAATCCAAAAAAGTAGCACAGATTGTTGTGAAACAACTCATTAACCAACTGAGGGCCAAAAAGGCGCATTTCCCCAGTTATTCTGGCAGTCTTTCGGGAGGGCCCCCCTCCAGCACAGCAGTAAGTTATGTCGCTGTACACATTCCTAGCGCGCCCTCTCCTTTGCGATGAGCAAGGCTACAGCCGATGCCCGCTGGGTTTGTGACAACAGAGAGCTCGGCACGCTGAGCAAACGTCTTGAGAGCTGAGGCCGAGTCATTGCAAAGTTATGAAGTAAAAAAAAAAAACATCCTATCCCAATTATAACCTGTGTGACCTTTATGAGTGGACAACTAAAAGGGACTCAGTAAATTTACTACTACTACTAAGACTTTCTTTTGTATCTCTTCATAACAAGCCAAACGATCATCTTCCCTTTTTCTGCCAAGTAAGAAGAAATGAAGTGCAAGGCATACAGATTAAATTTCATACCAGGGTAGAAACTCTGAGGGAGAAGGATAAAGTTGTATCTTTGTGAAGATATAAAAAGGCTTTGAAATACATGAATGGAATAGAGTTAAGACACTGAACTGTAACTCAGGAGATGGATTTAAAACCTTCCCCTGACACAAACTTCTAAGGTTGCAGGACAGAATTATAAAAGTCTCCTAAAGAAAACTCTGCTTTGGGCCATTTCCTTGTTCCTGTGTTCAGCACAATCGCAAACCTGTTAGGTGAACAAATGAACCAGAGTTAACAAAATGCCTTTATGGATACAACGCCACAGTCCATGATACCGCAGTGAATACCTTCTCAGAAGAAAAGATACCAGGCCCAGAAGCAGCCACCGCACAGCCCTCTGACAAGCTGCACCGTTAAAAACGCCAAACCAGGTATGGCATCGTAAGATGGAAAGAGAACAAGCCGCACAAAGGCATTAAATTAATCAATAGCTATTTACAGCCTGCAGGAGAGAAGGCATTAAACAAATTCTTAATCAGAAGGTGATTGTTTAAAAGCTACTTGGCTCAAAAGCGAGAAATGCCCATAAATGTTCCAATTACAGGAAAGAGATGTACAGTATCTACCTGACAGCACATGATGAGCAACCCTCTCCTTGCTCACCCTGCCGGTGACATCAGGAGATCCCATCACACTCTTCTCCTTGGAACGTTTTCCAGCTCCCCTGTGCTGTAATAAACAGGGGAGTAAAGTACCACTAGCTGTGCCGTGGCCCTTCCTCAGTTAACTCGCCCACACAGCAGCAGCACCACCATCCCGCAGGTACAGTCATAAAACTCAAGTCTTCAGCACAGCAAAAAAAAGTCACACATACAAATCAGAGATTTTTAATTATGGGTCCAGAGATTTTTTTTTTTTTAATCACTCTGTTATTTATGAGTTTTCCCTCAAGTTTTGCAAAAGGATGCCCATACCAAAACAAAAATCACAAGCTGCTTGTCAACCTCTTGAACTGCAAAATGCTTCCCACAGGCAGACTGCATCCAAATCCACTGAGGGTGATCCACACCGTTTCCAGAACATGGGAATTCTGCATCTTACAGCAGCTGAGCTGAGAGTGCTCAGGGAGCCCCAGCTCCCCCATGGCAACCTCTGCATCTCAATGCAACAGTCCAAAGAGAACGGCAATGGTTTGTCAAGGGCTTTTCCCTGCAAGGTCAGTGAACCGTAGCTGAGCCAAAATAAAGGAAGACTAAACCCTGTCAAAATTTTCACCATGTTCACTTTTGACAGGACATGCAAAAGGAGTTCCAACTCAGCACCCAGTTGTCCAACGTTGTTAGTTATCGTTAAAGACTGGTTTATAGATATACAGCCTTCTAAAGCTGTAAGGGTAATCTGATACTCAAGAATGTTCAGATTTTATTTTACAGTCGTATGTCTTTGTGCTTATAACACCACCTACATCTTTATATGGCAATTTATCCAAACAGCTGCATTTACCTAAGGAGATGGTCATCAACTAGGAAAACGTATCACTTTGGATGTGGCTTGAGTGAACCTACTATGTCTTCCAGCAGTATAAAATAAAGGATAGAGGGGACACATTTTTTTTCTTCACAATACATAGAGGCCACGTTAAGAATACGTACTCACTGATGTTTTGGCTGAAGTACAATAGGAGCTACAGCCTAACCTGAGTTTCCACTGAAACCAGTACAATTTGTGGCATTAAAGGATGTTGAACCACACTGCAACGTGCACCAAACCAGACAAAACAGTGACAACACTGCTGCACTCCTGCCCTGCAGCCAGCAGAGCTCTGCCTGCATTCATGCCATTAGTGACTGTGGACATAACATTACAGTTTCGCTACCCCTCTGTAGTTAACCATCCTTTCACAGGGTGTATGGTCAGGACAGATCTACAAGTTGCAGGTTAAACTAGCCAGCATATTTGAGAGAGAGGTTAACAAATGGGCATTTATTTCACTATTTGGAGAGACTTTTCTAAGAATATGGAAGCTGAAAAGTGGTATTTAATAGCACTGTGGTTGGCAAGGTTTCAAATTTCTGTTACGAACTGGATCTTCCCCATCTTTTCTTAAAGAGCTCGGTATTGCATATGCCAGCAGAGAAAAGAATTTTATGGACAAGCAGCACAACAGGGACAGAAAAGATGCTAGCAAATGGGGAGAACACAGAAAACGTGCCCATTTCCCAAAAGTTCTTTTATTGCCCTGAGTGCTAGAACTGAAAAAAATCACATGTAAAATGAAAACTCTAACGTCCTGTTACAGTTCTCCCAATCCAGCAAAGCCTTCTAATGGCCCAGACCAAATAATACTGCATGAACTTAAATGGCCCCAAATGGTTTCATTGCTCTGCATCATAAAGGGTTCGGCCAAAAATCTTCAAAATTGGTTTGTTTAGAAGATCTTGGCAAAATCTAGCAACTTAATACTTCAGGAAAAAAAGAGATCTGTACATTTTGGAAGTTACTCGCTGCTGAGCTCGTACTAACCTGTCTCACACACTCCCAGTCGGAGCCGCGCTGGCCGCTGTGGAGGAGCGGTGCCGCCACCCTCCCGCCTCCCCCGACC